TACGGTGGGATTGATCAAGGTGCGTGACACTTACCCATTTGGCGCGGACCCCGTATGGCATGGTTCACGCAGTGAGCTGCCATTCCTTAATTCATTGAAAATGAAAATGTCAATTCTTCTTGGGGTGACCCAAATGAACCTTGGAATAATACTGAGCTATTTTAATGCCGCATTCTTCAGGAATAGCATAAATATATGGTAAGTTTTGGTTTGTTCCTTGCTAATAATTCTTTTATTGACTTGAATTAGACACGTCCAAATATCATGTACTTTCATTTTCAAATACCTCTTTATTAGACGAGATGCTGTTGCTGTGAGTTTATTTTCTCTTCAACTTATATACCATTTGTGCAATTCCAGGTTCCAATTTATTCCTCAGTTGATATTTTTGAACAGTCTTTTTGGCTACCTTTCTGTCCTTGTAATTATAAAATGGTGCACTGGATCCAAAGCTGATTTGTATCATGTGATGATATACATGTTCCTGAGTCCTACTGATGAAATTGGTGAAAACCAGCTTTTTTCTGGGCAGAAGACAACTCAGGTTGATTAATTATTGTAGGCAAAATATTTCTTCTCCCGATTTCCATTCTTTTTTCCTTCAAACTATCTTTGTTTTTATTTGATTGAAACTTATTATGTTCATCATGCTTCTCCAGCTTGTGTTATTACTGTTGGCCCTCGTCTCTGTTCCATGGATGCTTCTACCAAAGCCTTTCCTTTTGAAGTTACAACACGATGTATTATATTTCTCTCTTTCTTATTTACAACATAATTACTGGATTAATCTCCTGGAGTAAAATATCTTATTTCTATGCCATTTTTTTCTGCAGAGGCACCACGGAGAGTCCTATGCACCACTTCCAGACTCAGAAGAGTCTTTGCAGTCGGATCCAAATCACGATTCCCATGGCCATGAGGAGTTTGAATTCAGTGAAATATTTGTACACCAGCTCATACATACAATAGAATTTGTACTTGGTGCAGTCTCGAATACAGCTTCATATCTTCGTTTATGGGCTCTCAGGTATTGTTTCAGAACCTTCAACTATGCCTTGAAGTGTTTCAACTAATTTTCCCAAAATGGAAACAAACTTTTAGCATCTCGTGCGTAGTTTTAATCCTGGACCTGCCAGGTTGGCCCAGAAGCTAGCAACCCGTAGGGAACCTAATTGGACCATTTTGCAAGGGAACTGGTCCTAACCCAACCAGCGACACAGTTTGCCTTCACCCCTGAGATTTCCAAGACGGGGGAAGGTCCACATTTTGAAATATATAATTTCCGTAAATAACTTTTTTTTTTTTTGGTTACATAATTGAAAGAGTTTATTATTTTTTAATAAATCAATGTAATGTTAACATTGTAATATCAGCTTTTAAGGAAGTTCATAAATTACAGAATCATACAATAAAGACGCGGAGAATCAAAACAAACGATAAAAGAAATGAAAGATTGGATAATAATATACTAACATAGACAGCAATAAAAATACTGAAAAGTATGAGAGTAGAAAAACTCAAAATAATCTTTTACTTGAATTAAAATAATTAACAATTACTTGAAATTCATTCTTAACTTATAAGGCACCTTAACTTTTACATTTATTATATATTTATTCCTTATTACTCCTATTCCAGTTAAAAATTATTTTTAGCTAGACTTTGACCTGACAATGACTCGTCGGTTGAACCAATAATTTGGTGCTTCAACTAGGTCAATGACTGGATCGGATCTGAAAACTTTGATCACGTGCCTTTAGTTTCATTTCAGAGCATGAATTCTAGGTAAACTGTGCACAAATAGGCATTGAATATTTGCTTAAAATGTGAAATGCTTAACATCCGTAGAGGTCTCCTTTCACACTAATTTAAAAGACCAAAAGTCTATAGATCCAGAGTACTCAACTCCTTGTTTAATATTTTATTAATTATTGTTTAATACATTATATCGATGAAAAGATGCTAATAACTAATGCTCTTTTTCTTCTATTTCTGTTCAGTCTTGCTCACTCTGAGTTGTCCAGTGTGTTCTATGAGAAGGTTCTTCTTCTTGCTTGGGGGTAAGTTGATCTATTTTACACATTTTGTTACTTTGATAATAGATTATCAACTGAATAATGTTATGAGGCACGAGTGTTGCTTAGCACTGGTCACTGCCACAATCCAATGATAGAAATGCATCTCAACTTCATTGGAGAATGTGGCGCTGGCAAGACGGGTGCTAAGCCAACTTGTGCTAAATATCATCACTTTTATCAAAGACACTATTGGGAGAAAATAACCAACTTATAAAACCTTTTACTGGCACACTGAAGCCCAGTTTTAGGAAATCATATGATTTTCTTTCTTTTTCTTCCAATTTTGGAGTTGAGTTACTATTTCTCTGAGATAATTAAATCATAAATGTGCTATAGCCCTTCCAAAGTGTATTATCAAAGCCCGAAGGAACTCTAAAAAATGCTCGATTAACCTGTAAATGCAATTATAAGGATAACCCCTAATACCATTCAACCATCTGTATGTTGCAGGTATAATAACGTACTTATTCTTATTGTTGGCATCATCGTCTTCATTTTCGCGACTGTTGGAGTGTTGTTAGTTATGGAAACTCTCAGTGCCTTCCTGCATGCATTAAGGCTTCATTGGGTGGAGTTCCAAAACAAGTTCTATGAAGGAGATGGTTACAAGTTCTATCCGTACGCATTTGCCTTGCTTGATTATGAGGAGGAATGATACTCTACTATCATATAAATTATGGCTGATTAAGGGTTTATTTGTAGTTCAAATGTGTACAATCGCAGGATGTTACTAGATTCTTTCATCTGGATGGGCCATGCATAGACGAGGCAATAAAACTATACTTTATTGCCTTGGAAAAGCGTTTGCGTTGAGCATGCTTTCTCTTGTATTATTATGTCAGTTGGAAAAATAAGCAGTCCATGAGACCTGCAGCTATTTAACTCATTTCATCAGTTGAGATTATGTATAACAATTGGATGATATAATCCTATCCTTTGTATTTTATTATTATTTGTGTGGATTTTCATGGATTTTGTTTCAACATTTTGCCGTAGAGAAATCAAATAATATGTTGTTTTTGTTTTCTTATCGAGGCTACCGTCTTTTCCCAATTTCTTTTTTAGAGCAAGTCTTAATTTTTATTTTTTAATCCTAAATCTCTATTATACCCATCTCTCCCCCAGTTCAATATTTCCGTTAATCTTCATCCTTCTCCCTGACTATAATCTCCCTGGCTAGGCCATATCACCTCGGCCTTGGCTCCTATTGTCCCCCAGACTGTAAGTAAAAATCGTCAAACCGAAGAATCTAATCGAAATCGCATTTTAGAAACCGTCGGTTTGATGCCACGTGAATCTGTCAACGAAATGGTTTTGAATCAAACCAAATTGGTCAAAAAGGGTTTAATTTAGGTTTGAGAATTTTAATTGTGGTTTAAAACCAAATTGGACCGGTGAAAAAATATATAAAAATAAAAAATGAAAATTTCTAATTGTGTGGGCATTTTTGTCAATTTCTAATTTTCTATTATATATATTATTATTACCCAATAATTCTAGAGCTTGTTTGGGTCAGATTAAAATCTGATTTTAATTCAAGTTAAAGTCAAACAATCAATATTAACCACATCTTTCATAGATCCCACATCTTTTCAACCACACATTTCAAAAGTTTTTATCACAATTCACTAAAAATATAATTTTAATATCCACCAAACACACTCCTAATTTATATCTAATAATCTAAAGACTAACCTAATATATTAAAAGCCCTTTTCCTTTTCAAAATTCAGATGAACTTCAGCCGACACCCGACACAGCCTTGAGCCACCAGCACCACACCAAATCGGAGATAGAGATCCTAGGTTTTCGGTAATAATATTTGCTACGAATAAAGTTTCAGGTCAATAATTTTTTTGGGCAAACTGGGGTAAGAAATCTGAAATTATATGGGTTTCGCGTTTCTCAACTATTGGATGATTGTAAAATAAATTTATTCACTTTAATGAAAAGGGTTTATCTACTATGTACATGATTTTATTCTATTTGTGTGGACATACTCTTGTTTTGTGACTGAATTAGGCATGATAAAATATGTCAATAAAAACTAAAAAGTATTCACGTGCAATTTGATATGTGGATAAACTGTTTAATAAGCTAAAAGAAACCAACAATGACTTCAATGGCAACTATACTTGCAACAATTTAATTGTTGTATTTTATTATATACTTAGATATTTTGTTGAACTGTTTCTTTAAGTGTTTTAAATTAATAAGGATATTTATTCAGTTAGTCTATTAAAGTCTTGGATTTTGATCAAGTAGCCATAAAGTTTATCGTTTAAGGTGTTGCGTTATTAATATCTCAATAACTGTATTATGGAACTATATCATTTCGAATAAATATTTAGTTTATAGATGTTTTGGGCCTTCTATTTAGTTTATTTGACTTGTATTGTAATGTTATTGTAACGTCTTAACCTAAAAAATGTGAAAAAAAAAAAAAACTATTGTTATGATTTCACTTAAATTTAGTTGGTATTTAAATTTATAGTAGATATATTTAGTTGTTTTAAATTTATTGCTAGTAAGATATAAATATATATTAAATTCAGTAAATTAATGGCATAAAAGTATATGGACAAAAACATATACGTCGAAATCGACGGTTTAAAATCGAACCAAACCGTTTGGTTTAGGTTTGAGTTATTTTCAAACCGTTCAAACCCATCCCCGCCTGCTTCCCTCGCTCCCCTCCCTGCTCTACAGTGTAGTAATTGGACGTTGAAAGGAAATGTTTCATCATATGCGGGACTTCAAATTTTTAACAATAGCAACAATTATTACTGACATTTTGATTGTTTCACAACCAACCTCTGATTTGCCATTAAAAAGTACAGATGCAAATCAGTTGAACATAACTTATGTACAGAAACAGAAATGCAATGAGCAAATTAGAAATGCAAACTTCATATCCTACACTTAGGTGCTAACGGCTGCAACAGTGGAAACCATCGAGTCCACCCCACAAACATTATGGCCCTGGCAGATTTTGTAGTATCCCTTCTCTCCCCAGTTTTCTCCCCAAGAGTTCTTAATAATCCAAAATGGCTTCTCTTTCAGTCGAATCGGAGCATAGCCAGCTGCACCATACCCGACCAACAGCACACCATGATCCAACACCCGCTTAAAGCATATGTATGGACAGGAAACCCCTCCTATGTATGTCTGCATGAAAGCGGCGTTGATACCCACTGCATCCAACAAACAAAATTGCTGTCAGAACATTTTACTATAACTGGAATTGTGTTTCTACCTAGTGTACTGGAATTCTTCTTAAAACTCGATTTCAAGACAGCTTAGATATGGAACACGCAAATAATACAACTATGTTGGCCAAAGCAAGTTCGGTTGAGCTTAAGTGAGTGGAACAGTAACGTTGTACCTGCAAGAGGGCCGTTCTTGACAAGATTTGCAGCAATTTGATCTTCATCAAGGGAAACAACACTAAAGTTAGCAACCTTTGCAGCAATCTTGGTCTTGTCGAATTTGCAAGCTGCACGGTCAGTGCCTGTGTAAGGATAGTCTTCTTCCTTCATGAGTCCACCGGCTTTAAGTGTGTATTCAAAGGCACTGTTCATCAGTCCACCACTACAGCCAGAGTCACATGAATCTTTTTCTTCTGGGTCACACTGCGGAAGGTGGTAGTTGATATAAATACCATGCATACTCCACAACACCAGAAAAATATAAAAATGGCCTAATTCTCAAGAAGAACCACCGGGTTTAAGCTTCAGGAACTACATACTGACAAATGCGAAACATTGATTGTGATTTCAATTATAAAGATGTTATGTTGGTTCCTCATGTGCGTAAGAAGAGAGGCAATCTCGATTGAAGCCAATTCAAAAATTTCCTACTCAATCAATTAAAGATTCTCTCTTCCATATGACTCTTCCATATGATAGGCTAGTCCCATACGTTAAACTCATATAACAGTCCTACACGATTAACTTTTCAAGATTTATAAAGCTTTTCTCCCATAAAGATGCATTTTACACAAGTACACACCATCTAACGACCCCTTCAAACCAACAATTTAAAGATAGGTGAACAAATAAATTGATTCCAACATTTTTAACAGAAATATCTATATTAGAATGCTATCAATGTTTGGTATCAAAATCCAAATGAATCGTTTGATCACTTGTATAGATTCTTTCAAAACAGACCTCTAAACATTCTAATAGGAGTAAAACATCAACCAGTACATAGCCATACAAATGGATATGAAGAATATGTAACAGAGTATGCATTCAACCAAAATTCAAATATGAGAAACTTCCAAACATTCTAATAGGAGAAAAACTTCACCTTAAATAGCTAATCAAATGAATATGAAGAATATGTAACCTGATGTGCATACCTAATGAAATCACAGTCAAGTTCAACCAAAATACTGAAAAGAGACCCAAAATTTAAGTGTGTGATCATGCTCTTCAAATACAAAAAATAGCAATAGAAGGCCAACTGGCCAAGATTAAGAGACAGGGTTAAAGAGCAGCACCTCATGATCACAATCTACAAGCTGTTGCTCACTGAGGCTCACAAGCTTTCCAGTCGATAAAAAGTTGGCACCTTCCAGTGCTCCAGTGGTGCTAAACGACCAGCATGATCCACAGGAACCCTCGTTTACACATTCGAGAATTACCGGTGAGAATCATATGCAGAGATTAACCAAATTAAACATAGATTCGAAGTAACGCCCGAGTAACACGAGAGCCTTAAAAGTCCAAATTTGAATTCCTTTTCAAGCATTGATACAATCTAGGTTCAACAGTTTATTATGATTAGGCTACTAATAACTAAAATGATATTCCCATAAAAAGTTGCAACTAAGCTAAACTAACCTGATTTTTGACTGGCGTAACGGCACCATGGTCTCTCCAATCGAAGTCAGTAGGAAGATCATTAGTAGGAAGGATCGGCGCCTTGTTAGCATCGGCGGGTAGGCGGAGGCGACGGTTGACGCCGAGGTGCTGTCTACGGAACTCTTTGGGAGTGAGATCCGAAAACTGAGTAACACCATGGACGGCGGAGGGGTCGAGCTTCTGGTGGCGCCTGGCGCGGCGCATGTTAGCCTTGAACACTGAGAGCCGGTAATCGTTCTCCTCCTTGGTGGCGTACGCCTTTGCGAACTTCTTCTTGAAGATCGCGAAAACTACTAGCAGCCAGTTTCTAAATACATCGTTAGCATTTCCTTGGTCAACGACTTGACGGATCAAAAGATCGTCATTTTCTCCGGCGTCGCCGCCCGCTACAGCGGAACAAAACGACGTTGCAATGAGTATGGAGCAGAGTAAACTAAGAGCAAATCGAGAAGCCATGGTCCTCAATTGGCGAGCAATGGAGGCAGGATATAGAGGTAGATAGTTGTATCTAAGTGTTACCAGTCGGGAGTAGGGGAACCCAACCAATGGATACTGACAACGTGTCGTAAAACGATTTGTCGAGGAACGATATTTTGTTTGCTTTTTGGGGTGGGTTTGGGTAGGGCGAATTCTTCAATAGGAAGCAAAGATATTTGGACAAAGTGAAAAGTGGCACCTCTCATTGACTTTAATTAGGCTCCATTTTTGTTTATTTATTTTTATATCTATTTATAAATTAAGTCCTCATTTGATCCCATTATTCTGAAAATAAATTTTTTCTCACTTATTTTCAATCATGTATTTTTCAATAAAATAATATGGGTATGATAAGATCCCAATCCGATTCACATGATGCTGCCACGTCATTTGTCATTCTAGAAGGTTCAATGGTTAGTTTGTTAGAGAGCAAAATCTGTTACAAGGGTCTAAAAATAGAATAAGAGTAAGAGAAGTGAATTATGCAAAATACTAAGTAGTTGGTTAAGTCCAATTGGGAGAGATCCAGCCTCCCGAATGCTTGGAATTGTTTTTTCAATTTCCTATTTCCAGTTTCATTTCAATTCAATACAATTGTTTATTCCTGTTTTCTTATTTTGTTCTTGTTGAATCAGCTGAACCTTATCAATTGGTATCAGTGCACCAATTATGGGGTAGATGGAACCAATTTCAGCAAGGGATTCTGGATTGGATGCACAAGGCCGTTTGGATATATCAATATTCTATGGAGAAGATATATATTGGTGGGTGTCAAAGACGGAGAAGATTTTTCCCAGAAACCGGTTATCGGAGGCAGAGAAAATAGGGGCTGCCACAGCTTGTTTTGGTTGGCAAACATGGGATTGGTTTTATGAGGTAGATCAACAACAACCCGTGCAAACTATGAGAGAATTGAAAGGGTTGATGCTTGATAGATTTTGACCTTCTCAGGATTCCATGAAGCAAAGGGAGAGGTAACCCTTCCTAAAGCAGCAATGAACAGATCGTTGGAAGAGGATATCCTCATCAAGGAGCTGAAATTCACCGGCACTTCTGAAATTTTCCCAAAATTAGATGAAGTTGGCGCATGTAATGGTGGCTCGAACCACCAAGATAAACAAGGAAAAGCTGAGCTTGCAGGCCCAAAACTCTTCAAACCTGGATTGAACGCAGAAGAGTGGAAGAAGACCGAGAGCTCTCCCACACGAACAGCGATTGTTGGGAAGAGAAATTAGCGCCAGGAAGCTATGAAGGAATTGAAATCCGAGATGTGGTGCTTACCGAGCATAGAAAGGTCAGTAGAACACCTCAAACAGGGCATGAGTATTGGGGCATCAAAGGAATTTAGTCTTGGAAGAGTCATGATGGGAATTGACAGAAAATAGAGGAAAAGGGGATCGCATTCACTTCGCCGGAACCAACCATTTATTCTGAAACTCCACTGCAGTTTGATGGAATCGGGACAAATGTACCCAACTGGAACCACTACATGGAAGCAGGGAAGATGGAGATGCAAAGCCTGGACAGATTTGAAATTGTATCAGCACCGACGACTTCAAAAGGGGTGTTGGAGGGGAATTTTACCAATTGTGAAACTACACCCAAGCTGGAGGAAGATGCCGAGAGAGCAAATTCGAGATGGGTTTTGGAGGGGTATTTTGACTGTGGACTACAACCGTGGGTTGGGTTTGAGGTCAAAATGTAGCAGCAATGTTTGGGCCAAAATATGAATTTAGCCCAAATGATAGAGGTCCAAAAAGAGCCTCTAAAAATGGTTCAACCTGATGCTAGCCCATATGAAATTAAAAACAATATTTACAGTTGAAAGTGTTGGAGCCGAAATGTTATCTCCAACACTTTCAGCCTAAATATTCATCTCAACCCTTATTATTTCTCTTCCCTGACAGCGTACCAAGCCTATCAAAACACTACGAACGTTCTAAAATCTGCTTCGACTACAAATGTGGGTCTAAAGTGTCTTCGGTTCAAAATCCTTACCGATGATAGAGAAGAAAATTTTAACGACGACAATGGTGAAGAGGTTGGCGATAAATTGGGATTTATAATTAATTCGAAGTTTGAAATTGCGCAAAAGACTAAAAAAAGGCAGATTGCACAAAAAGAAAAGATCGGGGTGTTGATCGATTGTGGTACTATCCATCGTTGTATTCTGATTAGCCAGGTTCATCTTTTGGAAAGCCCGCACAGGGGAGTGACCGAGTATGGAATTTTTATGGATAATATTCTAAGTATAGGTGGTCGGCGCCGAAACTTTTTAACTACTTTTGGATTGAAATTAGAGGTGGCAACGGGGCGGGTTCGAGGTGGGCACCCCCGCCCTGCCACTCCCCC